TTAGACATAAAACAATCTTTAGCAAGTGCAAATGACCAAATTATACCAAAAACACTCTCAGACCTCAGCACAATAAAAATATAGATGTCAAGACTATCTTCCATGTAATTGTATGCTCAAAGCCATGCAATTACATGGAAATAAAACCATATGGTCCTGAATGAGTTTTGGGTAAATAATGAAATTAAGACAGAAATAAATAAGTTTTAGAAACTAGTAGGAATGAAAATACAACGTATCAGAATCTCTGAGACACAGCTAAAGCAATGTAACAAGGGAAATGTATAGCACTGAACACCCACATTAAAAAGTAAAAAGTGATATCAAATTAATAACCTACTATCACAAATGAAAGAATTGGAGGAGCAAGAGTAAACAAAAAGCAAAGCTAGCAAAAGATAAGAAATAGCCAAACTTGTGACTGACCTGAAGGAAATCGACACGTGAAAAACCATTGAAAAGATCAATAAATCCAAAATTTTTTTCAAAAACTTAATAACATAGGTAGGCTGCTATCTAGACTAATAAAGGAGAAAAAATATGAGATCCAAATAAACACAGCTAAAATGACAAAGGAGATAGTACCGCTAATGCCACAGAATTTTAAGTCAGAAACTACTACAAACACCTCTATGAACAGAAACGAGAAAACTTAGAAGAGATGGATAAATTCCTGAACACATACACTCTCCCAAGACTGAACAAGAAAAATATAGATTCCTATAAAAGACCACCAACAATTTCTGAAACTTAGTTTTTAATAGTCTATCAACCATAAAAAAACCAGAACCAGATGGATTCATAGCCATAGTCAACCAGATGTACAAAGAACTGGAACCTTTCCTACTGAAAGTATTCTAAAAAACTGAGGAGGGACTTTTCCTCAACTCATTCTATAAGGCCAGAATCATCCTGATACCAAAACCTGGAAGAGACACAACAGAAATAGAAAACTTCAGGCCAACATTCTTGATAAGCATTGATGCAAACATTATAAAAATAATAAAATAACTCGCAAACTAAATCCAGCAGCATGTCAAAAAATCTAGTCCACCATAATTAAGTAGGCTTCATCACTGGGATGTAAAGTTGGTTCAACATCTGCAAATTAACAAATGTGATTCATCACATAAACAGAGATAAAGACAAAAACCACATGATTATCTCAATAGAAGCACCAAAGCTTTCAATAAAATGTAACATCCCTTCATGTTAAAAATTCTCAATAAACTAGGTATTGAAGATTGGAACTGCACCTCTTTCTTACACCATATAAAAAATCAACTCAAGATGAATTAAAGCTTTAAATGTGAAACCCAAAACCATGAAAACCCTGAAAGGCAACCTAGGCAATACCTTTTTGGTTATAGTAACTGGCAAAGATTTCATGACAAACATGCCAAAAGCAATAACAACCAAAGCAAAACCTGATGAATGAGACCTATTAGCAATGACAAAATGAGACCTTTAAACTAATGGCAAAACCACAATTGCTTTGAAAAAATTAAAAGGCTTCTGCACAGCAAAATAGACTATCAACAGAGTAAACAGGCAACCTTAACAATAGGAGAAAATGTTTGTGATGTATGGACAATAGTCCAATATCCAGCATCTAAAAGGAACTTCAACAAATATACAAGAAAAAAACAAACAACCTCACTTAAAAGTGGGCAAAGGACATAAACAGACATTTCTCAAAAAGACATCCAAGCAGCCAACAAGTATTTGAAAAAAGCTCAACATCATTGGTCATTAGAGAAAGGCAAACGAAAACCACAAAAAGATACCATCTCACACCAGTCAGAATGGCTACTAAAATGTCAAAAAATAGCAGAAACAGCAGATAGTGATGAGGTTGTGGAAAAGGGAATGGTTATACACTGTTGGTGGGATTGTAAATTACTTCAATCATTGTGGAATGCAGTGCAGCAATTCCTCAAAAAGCTAAAAACAGAGCTACCATTCAACTCTGCATCCCATTACTGGTTTTATACCCACAGGAATATAAATATTCTACCTTAAGGACACGTGCAGCACTATTCACAATAGCAAAACCATGGAATCAACCTAGATGCCCATAAATGGTAGACTGCATATAGAAAATATGGTACATATATAGCATGGAATACTATGCAGCCATAAAAAAAGGAATGAGATCATATATTTTGTGGAAACATAAATGGAGCTGTGGGCCATTATCCTTAGCTAACTAACAAAGAAACAGGAAACCAAATATTGCATGTTCTCTCATTTAAGTGGAAACTAAATGATAACTCATGAAAACAGAGCAGAACAACAGACTCTGGAGCCTATTAGTGTGTGGAGGGAGGAAAGAGAGAGAGGATCAAAAAAAAATTTTTTTTGAGTACTACACTTTGTATATGGGTGATAAAATAATCTATATAGCATCCCCTTATGACACGAGCTTACCTGTATAGCAAACCTGGACATGTATCCATTAACCTAAAATGAAAGTAAAAAACAAACAAACGCATTTCTTTTATCTTAATTTTAAAGGATATTTGTGTTGTGTTAAAAAATCTTGAGTTGGCAGTTACTTTGTTTTATAACTTTAAATATGTAGTTACACTTTTTGGCTCCTATAACTAATTTTCTCCTTTATCTCAAAAGACAAGTTACCTCCACCTATAATCAAAGTTGTATGCACATATTTATTTATAACATAAATAATAACTAAGACCACTCTTTGGAAATGAAGAAAACTGCTCAGAAGTATAACTATGCTTGAATTTCCAATAATTTGAGACTGAAATATTGTCTATATAAAGTAGGCATTTCATAATATTTGGGTAAATTGTCTCTTTTCTCACTGGTTCTTTGTTGTCTTTTCTAGTGATATCCAAAGTGAGATGTATGTGCAAGACAATTAATTGAAGTGTAGAAATAAGTTATTAAAACTTGAATTTACATGTTTTACTTTATATTTTGAAATTTTCTATTTTAATATATAATTTATAATATATATGATTACAATAGAGTATGAACTATTCAACACATAGTAAGTTGATGTGTTCAAAATTGTCTTCTGATAAAATCTTTGAAAAAAGAAGTTTAGAAAATGTTTCTTTAGATAGTGGGAAGGAAGTAAAAAATCTATGCAGGTGCAAAGTCTTTTTCTTAGAGTATAAAAGCAGTGATCAAGTCAGTATGTCAGACTTCTAAACTGACATGCTGGGTCATACCATTTTCTATCTGCTCTATTGAATTAAGTGGCTTCCAGGGATGCAGGTCGTATCATTTTCTAGCTGCTCTAGTGAATTAAGTGGTTTCACTACAGACAAATAGGTCATTGATCAATTGCCTTTGGAAAAAGCAAAAGCACAAACTTGAACTATTTCAGACATCTATAAAGTTTTCTTTTGCGTAACAATCCAGAGCAGTGGTTCTTAAACAGAGCTGAGTATCAAAGTCACTTAGGGAAGTTTTACAATACAGATTTGATTTACTCAGACCAGAAATTTTGATTCATGGTTCTGGGAGCAGTTCTCAGATGTGTTTATGTTTTTAAAATTTCCAAATTAATTCTGACATTTACCTTCACTTTCATGTCACTGGACTAGATATTTTATTGATTAATGTCTCCAAAAGCCTTCCTAAATAAGTCAGTGATTTATTTTTGTTTGTTTTGTTTTTGTTTTTGTTTAGAGATTGTAGAAAGACTTTCTCTTTTTATATTGTACTTTGTACTTTAGGTTCTGGGGTACATGTGCAGATCATTCAGGATTGTTGCATAGGTACCTACATGTCAAGGTGGTTTGCTGCCTCCATCCCATCATTACCTATATCTGGCATTTCCCCCTATGTTAACCCTCCCTACCCACCACCATCCCTCCCTAACCCCTCCAACAGATCCCAGTGTGTGATGCTCCCTTCCCTGTGTCCATGTGTTCTGTAAGTCAGTTGTTATTTAATAATGAGTCAGATTTTGTACTGGGCACTAGCACTTTACTTTAGAAAATGAAAATAGATTTCAGTCAAATATGAGTACAATGGATCATTTTGACTTATTTTGTTTTGTGTTTAAAAACTTGATGATTCAGGTAAATCAAAAAATCAAGATCTACGGCAGAGGTGTCCAATCTTTCAGATTCCCTGGACCATATTGGAAGAAAAATTGTCTTGGGCCACACATAAAATACACTAATGACAGCTGATCAGCTCAAGAAACAAATAAAAAAAATCCATAATATTTTAAGAAAAATTAGAAATTTGTGTTGGGTAGCATTCAAAGCCCTCTGGGCCACATGTGGCCTGAGCATAGATTGGACAAGCTTACTAGGATATGCGTTTATATAAGCATAACCTAAATGTTAGAAATGATCACATTCACCGTTCCAGGTAATAAGGAAGTAACATTTTCAAAACACATAATGCCATGCTTATTTTTGGTAGACAATACTGATTAGTATCAAACGAAATGGGCACCTTCCAAATGGAGACTATCGTGGACCAATTATCCCTGTGTAGAGAGACAATTTAAAATTCAGATCAACACTTATATGTACCTCCAACAGACATCATTAGTGATTTAATGTAATTTCTGAAAACATTAAAATGTTGTGAGTTTTCTTCAGAATTTGCTTAGTGAATTAAGAAAATTCTGCCTTAGAGTTTTTCACTAGAGGATATTAACTGGTTCAATTTATTGTTCTAGATCATTAAGTAAGAGATTTCTTACGTTAGTGTTTTTATTACAGGTTTCTGCTTAAGTTTCTAGTAAAAAATACACTTGGTTTAGAATAGGGAGACTGTAATATGAATTAAAGGTAGACATTCTTAAATAATGGAGATAAGAGAATGAATAAAAGTTTTTGAAGTGTTGCAATTGAAATGAGTGGCAATAAGACAGTTCCAAATAACTGCTTAAACAGTATTGGGCTTTGTTTCTTAGAAATAAAGGATAGTTTACTTTAAAAAAATAATAATTATTATTATTGGTTTTCCATAATACAAATTTAATTAATGCATTTTCTTCTTTTAATAGACTAGAAGTAAACATCAGAACATATGATAATTCCATTCCAAGTAAGAATTTAGTTATTGAAGTTTAATATGTCTTAGACTGGAAAATAATTTTACGAACTAATGACTAGTTTATTCCATTAAATGTGATAAAGCAGAAACTGCTATGAATTTTTATTAAAATTTTATAGAAGCATGTATGTGTGTATATTCATATGTGTGTGTTGGTTGGTGTATATATGTGTGTGTATATTTCTGGCCTTGATGTAGGTTTGCACTCACTGGTTTTGAACAAAGATTTATTTGTTGTTCTTCAAAATACAAAACAATTTTGCTTGTATAAGATTCTCTTGTGTTTAAAATTCATAATTACAGTAAAGGAGGAAAATATAGTCAGAGAGATGAAAGTTGTTAATGAACAGCCCATTTGTTGAATACCTGCAACTTTAGGAAAGTTTTCCTTAATATACTGAGCTGAAATCTTTCTGCACTGCTATAACTATTACTCATTTGTTCTAGCCCATCTTTTGGGATACATATAAAAGGAGCCTATAACATTGTGATTAAGAGTGTGGGCTCTGGGGCAAAAGTATCTGTGTTTGAATCAACTCTACTAGTTGCTAGCTTTATGATTTGGGGCAATTAATTTAAACTTTCCCTGTCTCTGTGCTTTATTTTTCCACACCTAGAAAATGGAGACAATTATATTATCTAATCCAAAGCATCGTTGTAAAGATTAAACAAGTTTATGAAAGTGCTTAGAACACCAGTGTGGCACATAGTAAAGATTACATAAGTGTTAGTGGTTGCGTCTATGCTATTATTACTATAACTACTTTTCTCCAATATAGTAGCTCTTTGAAAATCTAAATATGGTCACCATATCTCTGATTAGTCTCTCCATCTCCAAAAGAGCTATCTTGAGTTTCCTCACCAGTTCCTTTTTTGACAAAGTTCTCAGATAGTTTGATCTCCCTGATCACACTGTTCTGATTGTCCTCCAGTATGTATATGCCCTTCTTTAAATAGAATCCCAAGAATGGAATGTACAATTTCTATCTATGGCCCTAATTGCTAGGGTTTGGGGATGCCACTGAGGTCAGAGAAGTGCTAAAAGAAACACTCAGATGTAATCAATCAAGACTTTTACTGACTGATGTCACCACCATGCTAGTTATTACGAAGAGTACAGAAGAAGTTACATTGTCTGCAATCTAACTAAAGTGATATAAAGAAAAAAAAAGCCAGGATAGAAGAGATGATGTAGATATTTTAAAGGAAACAGTAAATCTCTATTTTCTATTCCTGATATTTGATTATATTATTTTACCATTATGATTTATGTATCTGTGAAAATTAGTTCAATGTAGAAAATAAAATTACAAATTTCATTTTAAGTAAAATTCAGTGATAAATAAGAAAAGTGGCTTTTATTTTCTTTAATTACTATGCAAATAAACTAGAAACTCTGAGGGAAAAATTTACATTTTAATTTATAACTTAGTTTAATTTAAAGGATATGTTTCTTACTTGAGAAACATTCATGTCTGTGGAAAATCTGACATTAACTCCAAATTTTTTATTATTCTTTCTCATTTTAGTCAGTGAATCAAGCAGAAAATCATGGAATGAAAAACACTTTGCTTTGACATTTCCCAAACCACCCCAGAGAGGTAGAAATGATAAATCAAGACCTTTGAAATCACAAGTAACAGTTACTGTAAGTACAGAAAAAGTCATTTTTAAAAACGAAATCTATGTTGATAAAACATATATAAATATAATAAGTAAGGCCTACGTAACTTGAATTTTACTATCTGTTGGAAGATTTTTTTAATTTGTAATTCCCTGTAGAACAGACTGTCCCACTTGCTTTAGATTAAGCTCGCATTTGTACATATTTATCTACATCAAAGACATTATCTAAGCAAGCTGGATAACCTAATACTCAAACTAGCAGGTTTACCAGTTGCAAAAGCAGCTAAAATTTTAATATTAGAGCAGAAACTGAGCTTAATGAGGTTTTAAGGCCTCCCTATTTTACAAAATATGAAATTCCAGATACTTGATATTAAGAGATTCAAGTTTTCTACTGCTTCTCTAAAGTGGAGTTATCCTATTAATTAGCAAAAGGAACAATAATCATATATTGATCACCTACTGTGATATCAAACAATTTTTAAAGCATCTCCCAGAGCACAGTTACAGTTAATGCATTTATTCAAGGGTAATTTATTACATCTGTAGTGGCACATTTTTCATGTTTCTCTTCATGTTTATCTTTTAATTCCATATTACCAATTGCTTGTTGGGACCTTTACTGAATAATTAAGGGAAAATAAGAAGTAATTCTAAAATCTGTCTTTATGGTTACTTATGACAACTAGATTTGACAAATATTTGGGAGAGAGTTGAAAATAAATTACTGGGGAGGGATAACATTAGGAGAATTGCCTAATGTAGATGATGGAGGGGATGGATGTGGTAAACCACCATGGCATGTGTAAACCTATGTAACAATCCTGCACGATCTGCACATGTACCCCAGAATCTAAGTATAATTAAAAAGAAAAAGAAAAGAAATTACACTAGTGCTGCACAAGCTAATGTAAATCAAGCATTTGTTTATTTCATTCAATTTATTTCTTTATTTTTTGCAGTGCAGCTGGGGGTCACGGGCTCTCAGTTTGACAAGAAACTTTAAAAGCAGGAGTAAATATCAGACTAGGGTTCTACAACTATTACAGGAACTGTCATAATAAACTTCAAAAGGATCAGTTTATTTCTGATTTAACTTGGGAATAAAGGATGTTTAAATTGTTCCAAAAGATTTCCCCCATATAGAAGTCCCAAAAAGCCTGCTGTTGTTTTTTGAGGATAAGTCTTGGAATGTCATGGATCACTGTGGGCCTGCCCTAATCAAAACATTTCCGCTAAAGTCATCTTATTTTCAAAGTGGAGTTCTCTCTCTCTCTCTCTCTATATATATATATATATTTATATATTTAAATATATATATATAAATATATAAATATATATATATAAATATATAAATATATATATTTATAAATATATAAATATATATATTTATAAATATATAAATATATATTTATATATTTAATATACAAATATTAAATATATAAAAATATATATTTATATAAATATGTATATAAATAAATATATAAATATATACATTTACACACACACCTCCCTTGATAGAGAAAAAAATAAGTTTAAATAAACAGTTAATTAAAAATAAATTTTTTTCTATTTATTTATTTATTTATTTTTATTGTATTTGAGCTCTGGGGTACATGTGCACGTCCTGCATCCTGAAGGATTGTTGCATAGGTACATACATGCCATGGTGGTTTGCTGTCTCCATCGCTGTTGCCTACATCAGGCATTTCTCCCGGTGATATCCCTCCCCCCCCAACCCCCACCCCTGCTGACCCCTCACCCTTCCCCTCCACCCCCTCACCTAGGCCTGTGAGTGTTGTTCCCTTCCCTGTGCCCGTGTTCTCACTGTTCATCACCTGCTATGAGTGAAAACATGTGGTGTTTGGTATTCTGTTCTTGTGTCAGTTTGCTGAGAATGATGGTTTCTAGGTTCACCTGTGTCTCTATAAAGGACATGAACTCATCTTTTCTTATGGCTGCATAGTATTCCATGGTGTATATGTGACACATTTTTTTTGTCCAGTCTATCATTGCTGGGCATTTGGGTTGGTTCCATGTGTTTGCTCTTGTAAACAGCACTGCAATGAACATAGGTGTGCATGTGTCTTTATGAGGGAACGATTTATAATCCTTTAGATATATACCCAGTAATGGGACTGCTGGGTCAAATGGAATTTCTATTATGTCCCAATATAGAAAGACATAACTCATTCACAAAGGATTATTGTTCTTATCAATCTTTTCAGAAGCATGACAAAAGAAAGTCAGAAGAAGGCCAGAAACCAGCTTATGTATGGATAATGCATTCTTTAAGAAGAATTTTGCAATGGCCCTCTATTAACATAGCTGCCAGGGAACAGACTCCATTCAGACGTCTTTATACTTCCAAAACCCATCTTAAAAATGCAGAATATAAAGAGTCCCAAGATGAAAAAGGAGGAACACCTTTGAAAAAAGATTCCAAGAAAAAAAGAGGCTCATATGCAACAAATCCAGAATCCAAGAAAACAGTAGAAGATGAGAAAACTAAAAGACAAAATGAGACAGTTAAAACTTCCATAAAATCATCACATGAAAAAAGACTATCTAAAAAGTCAAAACCCAATTTGGAAACAAATCTGGAATCCAAAAATTCTAAGGCAGTCTCAAAAACTTATTCACAGAAAGATAAGAAAGATTCAAAGAATTCCGAGAAGAAAAACACTGAATCCATATGTACAAAGAACAATCCAGAGACAGATTTGAAGAAGTCAAAGACTAGTAATGATGCCATATCAGAAATTTGGTCAGAAAATAGTTTAAATGCTGATTTTCTGATGTTAGTAGAAGGGTCTGATGATGAATCCATAAGTTTTGATGCATGGTTAAGGAATTACTCACAGAATAATTCAAAGAAGCCTGCAAAGAAGGACACAAAAAAGGATGCAAAGAAAAGCTCTGGTGCTGAATCAGAAGACTCAAAGGATTCTGAGAAACAGTCAAAGAAAGAAAAGAAAAGTGCCAAGAAAGATGACAAGAAAAAGGATGTAAAGAAGGGCACAGAGTCTACTGATGCTGAATCTGGAGACTCAAAGGACGCAAAGAAAGATACAAAGAAGGATAAGAAAACTTCAAAGAAAGATGATAAGAAAAAGGACACAAAGAAGGACCCAGAGTCTACTGATGCTGAATCTGGAGACTCAATGGATGCAAAAAAGGATTCAAGAAAGTCAAAGAAAGCTTCAAAGAAAGATAACCAAAAAAATGATGCAAAGAAAAATACAGTCTCTACTGATTCTGAATCTGAATTGGAGTCGAAAAAGAGTCAGAAACATGAAAAGGGGAATAAAAAATCTTCACAGCAAGATAAAAAGTCTGTCAAGAAGAATGAAGAGTCTGCTAATGCTGATTCTGAATCTGAAAGAGATTCAAAAAAGGATAAAAAAGATGAAAAGAAGGGGAAGAATTATTCAAAGAAAGATGACAAAAATAAGGATGCAAAGAAAAATGCAGAATCTTCTGAAACGGAATCTGATTTGGAGTTAAAGAAGGATAAGAAAGACTCAAAGAAGGAAAAGAAAGGCTCGAAGAAAGATGTCAAGAAGGATGCAAAGAGGGACACAGAGTCTACTGATACTGAATATGATGAATCTTCCAAGACAGTCTCTAAAAAGTCTATAAAAATCAAAGGTTCAGATACTGAATCAGAAGAGTCACTGTATAAACCTAGGGCTGAGAAGAGAGTTGATGAATCAAACGGCACATCTGCAAATTCAAAAAAGGAAGGACTGGAATTAAATAGAGGATTCAAAATGTCATCCAAGAAGACTACATTCAAAGAGAAAGGGGGAAAAGCAAGTACAGGTAGAGTTCCTTCATCAAGAGAAAGACCACCACTTCCTCCTTGTGACCCGTTTCTACCATCACCAAAGGTCAAACGTTTTTGTCTGTGCAGGATGCCTCCTCCCTCTCCAAAACCAAGATATGCCCCTTTGGTAAGTTTACTACTGTTTTATTTTTAGGCTGAAATTGATATAAAATGAAAGGTATTTTTAAAGTTTGAATTTATATTTTCTCCAAATGATAGTTATCTTTTACTAGAATATTGACAACTTTGACTCGAAGGTAAGAAAAATAAAGAGTACTTCACAAGTACTCAAAATATTGCAAAAAAGTTATAAATTTAAGAGAATAGAAATTATGTTGACTAGAGCAGAGAGAACTGACTCATGATTTAATAAAACGTGTGAATTTATGTATAAATAAGGTCATTTTTCAAAAAAATGTGGTTAAGTTTTATACTTTGAAAAGAACAAAAATGAAAATTGACTAAAACTTCTACAGGAACAGATTTAAGCGAGATATAAAGACATTTCCTGAGAAGTTGCTGAATACAGTAAAAGCTAGATTAACCAAAATCCATACACAGCAGGTGGAATACATGCCAAGATTCAGCTGTGCAAAAAATTAAACTATTTAATCCATATCTCAACTGGAGTTTTTATGAGCCCTCATCATAACTGATATCAGGAAACAAAAGTTAACTTTTCAGAAATAACTATATCTTCTCTAATTCATAAGTCTTAGGTTAACTTTGACTAATTGGGGGTAAATACTCTGTCAACTTAAAGTTACTACTTCTCTTATCCAGGATACCTCCCCTTCAATCCCTTCTCGAAACAGTCTGATTGTAAGGGAAAGTGTAAATACACATCTTATATTAGACAGCAGAGCTCTGAATTAGTCCTTTTTCACACTGCTGATAAATATACATCTGGGACTGGGCAATTTACAAAAGAAAGAGGCTTAATTGGACTCAGAGTTACACATGTCTGGGGAGGTCTAAGAATCATGGTGGATGGCAAGGAGAAGCAAGTCACATCTTACTTGGATGGCGGCAGGCAAAGAGCGCTTGTGCAGAGAAATTCCCATTTTTAACACCATCAGACCTGTTGAGACTCATTCACTATCACAAGAACAATGTAGGAAAGACACGCCCCCATAATTCAATCATTTTCCACCAGCTTCCTCCCAAGTTATGTAGGAATTGTGGGGTTACAATTCAAGATGAAATTTGGGTGGGGACACAGTCGAACCATATCAAGTTCCTATTCCACGTTTTCTTTCTTGCTTGCTTTACGATTTTTGGTTGAGGTGTAACTCATTTACATGATTTCTGGGCATCAACCTTTGTTTCCTGTGCTTGCATGATATTCATTGTTTATTCCAAACATAGTAGGGCTGCTGCCCTCTCTCCTGCTAAACTCAGAACAATTGTAGCTATGACTAGTTCTTGAAACTAAGTTTCTCATTTTCATTAATTTCTTCCCCCCTTTCTTCTCATTTCTCCTCCTTGTCATCTTCTTGTTCTTCCAATCAAGAAGTTTATATTTCCTCTTTTAGACACAGAAAGATGTCTTTTATCTTGTATACCAAGTATTTTCTATCTTTAGTTTATAATAAAACTTTACATACATACATCAATTTGCTTCTCATATATTAATATTTTTGGAAGTTAACAACACCTTTTATCACTCTCAGAAAGCCTGGGTTTCAAGTAGACCCCAAAACTCTGCTTTGAGACTCAAAGGTGGTCAATGACCCCTTTGCTCTAGGTGATATCTTCTCTCTACCAAGTTGAGTTAATGGATGGCTAGCCACTAGAGTGATAAAATTTAAAAGGAATGAAAGTATACTGGGAAATAATTTTTAAGATAAATAAGAAGAAAGACTCTCAAATAGCTAGACTCTTTTCCACAGGCAGTTTTTAGGAAAAATAATTAAAATATAAGAAAACAATTGAATACAAGGATTAATTTTAATTGTAGTAAAAAAAAATCTTTCAGGGTATGTTGTAGGCTTGTACAGTTCACGTCAAGTCTCTTTAATAAACTTCCATATGCACAGCCACCATTAAGTTAGGCTTTTCTATCTCTACTACACTGAAACTTTTTAAAAAATGTTATCAAGTACCTTCTTGTGGCCATATCTACAGGTTTTTCCACCCTCCTCATCTTATTTCATAATTCAACATCATTTAAACTAACCTCTCTGTCTGGAAATATTTCCCTTACTTCACTTCTATGACCCTGTGCTCTCCTGTTTTTATTTCTACATACTGGTACCTTTTAACCACCTTTATTGTATACTTCTCTGCCTCATTATTAAAAATTGGAATGATCCTGTTTTTGTCCTGAACATTCTCTATTTACAATCCTCCCTTTGTGAGTTTATAGAGTTAAATGGCTCTAAATATTATCTATGTATTGACAGCTCCAAAATTAATATTTTCAGTTATGACCCTCCAATTGAACTCCCAAGGTTTCTCCCCAGCCACTTACTTGAAATCTCCACTATAGTACCTACTGGGCATCTCAAACTTAAAATGTTTAAATAGTGCTTTTAACCCACACTAAATTCTATTCCTCTCTTTGCCTTCTTCATCTTATCAAATGGCACCACCATCCAACCAGTTGATTTATTTTAAACATGGACATTATCTCTGTCTCCCTTCTATTTCTCACCCTCCACAGGTAATCAATCCATTAACTCATTATGTTCCCCAGGCTGGTCTTTAACTCCTAGCTCAAGAAATCTTCCAGCCTTGGCTTCCCAAAGTGATGGGATTGCAGACGTAAGCCATCATGTCTGGCAGAATAAAATTTCTTACCCTAGCTTCCAACCTCTACAATATATAGCCCCTACTCATTTTTCACCCTAATCATGTAGCACTTTTTCTCTTTTCTTTTGTCATATAGCCAAACTGACATTCTTTTTGTTTGTCATAAATACTAAGATTGTTTTCTTGCAAAGCCTTTTTATATGCTGTTTCCTCTGATTGAAATGTTCCTCCCACAGATCTTTGCCTATCTGGTTCTTCTCATTATTTAGTTTTTCAGCTTAAGTGTTCTCTATAGGGAAGCCTTCCCTGACTAACTTGTTTTTATGTTAACTTCCTCTCCATCACTATCCAGTCAGTCTCTGAGCACTGCATTGTACATTATTTGTCTTCACTGAATTTATCTTTACCTAAAATTATATTTTTTTTCCTTTATTGTTAGTTACATTCATCATTAGAATTCAGGTTCTATGCAGGCAGCGAATCTTGCCATATATATATATACACACACACACATCTGCAGATTCAAAAACGGCACCTATGTTATGTCTAGTTGCTTGAGAATTTGGTCCCTCTAAAGAGCTACATATCATACCACAGTAGTAGACATTTGGATATCCTTTTTTCCAAGCATTTTTACTCTAGACATGTCATTAAGAAAAATAAAGTATTTTTTTAAGTGAGGGGAGTCACAAAAATGGACTTTACATTCTAAGTGGATGTCTGGAGGGGAATACCTATGTATCCTGTTCATTTGTGTATGGGGAACTTATGAACAGACTATGTTATTGAAACTTATGGTGTTTTCTTATTTCTTTGTTTTTTTTAAATATGGGCTTGAAGAATGATGACTTTTCTCCTTTTCTCCTCCACTGGAGTCTCACTGATTCTCACAGCAGCACATAAGAAGCACATAAGAAGTACTGTATTTCAGGGTCAGCACTGTTTACACTCCTGAATTAAGGTTGTTTACATTTGATATTGTGTTTATAAATCTTGGCAATATTCTCAATCATAAGTGAATAATTCTTTATATTCCAGCTGCTAAGGTAGAAAAGTAGGGTGTTATGTTTAGGGTGATTTGTTTTCCATTATGTTTTTTTCCATATGTGTGTGTGTACATATACATATGCATATACATATATATATATTATCTTTGATAACAAAAATACAAATACAACAACAGAAACAATATAAAATATGTAAAGAAAAGCTAATCATTTAGATCTTTATGTCCACTTTCTGATGCCATATCTCTACGTTTTCATCTTCTTGAGGTAAACAATGTTAACAGCCTGGGGGCCATTTTTCTCTTTAGACCATTTCCTTGTACAAGCAAATGTAAGGAGGTAGAGAGAGAGACAATCAGATAATTTGTTTTGACCAAAATACAATCATGCTCTTGTATTAAAATACAAGTTATTTTCTCACTTGACAATATCATGGTCATCCATATAAGTCGTTAGACATATATCTAATGTTATTGTTCTTATTTACAACTTGCTTATGAAAACACACACAGAATTTAATGTGTCAGAATACCATACATTCTGAATTTGTTTTCCTTCCATCTTTTAAGTTTTTATTTTTGCTTATTTCTCTACTTCTCATTCCCACTTTCATCCATTGCTAACTTTTTTCTCCTTTCTAGGTAACATTTATCAGCAACTTACTATATTTCATTCCATACTTCTCTCCAAGTTTCATTTTACTGTATTAAACATTCAAACACACACACACAGAGAGACATACACAGACAGTGGTGGCATCTGGGAGCAGGAATGAAAGTGTACGGCAGCTGGGAGCAGGAGAAAGTGAGGTTTTCTTACCGTTTTATTTAAAAATAAAGAAATAATACATACTTCCTTGCATCTTGGTCAGCAATAGTTGTTAGAGCTCTTCCTAACTTTTGCTGTTCTAATGGATGCATAATGATATCTCATTGGTACTTTCATTTGCATTCTCCTGAATGCTAGTGAGCTTAAATATCTTTTGAATATTTGTCATGCCATAGGCTTGATCTTTTGAGAATTATTTCTTTGTATTCTTTGTGCATTTTTCTCATGAATTATTTATATGTTTTTTGCATTTATTAAAGTATATTTGCATATTGTAGGTATTAATCCTTCATCTGTCTTCCTTGTTGTATTTTCCCCAACTTTCATGTCTATTAATTATTCCACAGTGTATATTGCTGTGCACAAATGCTAAATTTTTACATAGTCAAATACATCTATAATTGTTTTGATTGTTCCTTGGCTTTCTGTATTAGAGAAAATTATCTTCTCCACAGAGTAGTTTTTAACAGGGACTAATACAAACAAAATCTATTCCTTAGTAAATAATAAAGTGTAATCAATGTCCAAACTGAGCATT